TAACTTTTCTTGGGGGAGTCACCTGTGACTCTTACTGGGGTCTACTCAATTAGACAAAAGTGATAGCCACAAATCTCAAGTTAAACCCTTCTGCAGCTTTGGCTTCTGCTGAGTTGGCCGAGGCTTACACTCCCACAAAGCCCTACTATTCGAGAGGATAGGTAAGGCACAACCTTAATCTCTGGAGAGCTTTTGTTTGACTCAATCTTTCTGAGGTCTTAGGAAAGATTTCAGTTCACACTGAGCTTCATCTTCAGGCCACATTTGATCAGAAGTCATTTCTTAATTTTAGTACTCTCTGCTATCGAGAAAGACAGCATTTTCAAAACAAGACCTAGGTCCTTTTTGTTTAACAATCCTTCCTTTAGTTTCTCTCTCTCCTTTCACATTTTACTATGAACAGGAAGAAGCACCATACTATAAACACTCTGGGTAGAAATCTCTTCAGCTAGCTTACCCAGTTCATTTGATACATTATCAACTTTCCACATAACTGTAGGTAACAGTGTTGCTAAACTTTCTGCAACTACATAAGAGAAATCTTCCCTCCAGTTTCCAGTAACACTTACCTAACTTCCTTGCAAATCCTCACCAAATATTTCTTACCAAATACCACAAGGCTCCAATTAATCACATCTTAAAGGCACTCAGGCACTCACCAACACTCTCCTCAAAGCTCACAGCTCATTTCAAAACTACTCTCCATATTTTCACTTTTGTTATGAAGTCTATTAAGTAGTTATTGCTGTGTAACAAATTATCCCAAAACATGGTGGCCTACAACAAACATTTACTATCTCACTCAGTCTCTGAAGGTCAGGAATTCAAAAGTGGCTTGGCTGGGTGGCTCTAGTTCAGGCCTCTCATGAGACTGCTGTTAATTGTCAGTCAACACTGCAGTCATCTCAAAGTTCAGCTGGGACTGCAGAATCTGCTCCTAAGTTTATTCACATGGCTGTGGCAAGTTTCGTGCTTACTAGGTTTTGGCTGGATGCCCCTGTTCCTTACCATGTGGGCCTCTCCATAGGTTACCAGAATGTTCTTATCATAGGAAAAGCTGATATCTCTCAGAGTAAGTTATGAGAGAAAGAGAAAGGCGGGGGGCGGGGGGGGGGGCGGAGACACCTTAAGAGAGATGCCACAGTCTTTCATAAGAAAATCTCAGGAATGACACGTACCATCATTTTTGCTATTGGTCACAGAGACCAACTCTAGTACAATCTGGGAGGGTATTATGGTTTGGATATGGTTTGTTTGGCCCCACCAAGTCTGATGTTGAAATTCGATCCCAGTACTCAAGGTGAGGCCTGGTGTGAGGTGTTTGGATCATGGGAACGGATGTCCCATGAGTGGCTTGTTTGTTCTCACTCTTAGAGAGAACTGGTTGTTGGAAGAAGCCCGGCACCTCCTCCTCTCTCTCTTGCTTTGTTCTCTCACCATATAGTAGCCTCCCATTCCCCTTCTGCCATGAGTGGAAGCAATCTGAAGCCCTTCCTAGATGCAGATGGTGGCCCCATGCATCTTTTACCTCCTGTAGAGCCACAAACAAAATAAACCTCTTTTTTTTATAAGTCACCCAGCCCCAGGTATTCCTTTGTAGCAACACTACACAGACTAAGACAGAAGGGAAGACACAAAAGTGTGAATACCAGGAGACAAGAATCATAGGAGGCCATCTTGGAGGCTGGCTATTACAAAAGGTATGGTCCAAATATTTAGCAAACTAAAACGTAGCATGATTTCAATTCCCTAATGTAGTATAAGGAAAACGGAGACTTCACTTAAACATTTTTCTTATGTTGGCACAGTAATTGTAACAATTGAACCTCACAGAACAAAATGTGATTGTGGTACACGACCTAACTTTATACTGAACGATATTTGCTCTGTCATAATAATGTTATAAGGCCAGACGCAATGGTTCATGCTTATAATCCCAGCACTGAGAAAGCTGAGGCAAGAGGATTGCCCGAGCTCAGGAATTCAAGACCAGCCTGGGCAATATGGTGAAAACCTGTCACTATAAAAATTATAAAAATTAGACAGGCATGGTGGCACACACCTGTAGTCCCAGCTCCTAGGGGGGCTGAGGAGGGAGAATTGCTTGAGCCCAGGTGATCGAGGCTGTGTGATCACACCACTGCACTCCACCCTGGGTGGCAGAGTGAGACTCTGTCTCAAAAAATAATAATGTTATAAGTGATGCTTATTAAATTCCAGCTTTGAGAATTATTCTATACATTATATATGGGAGCTTAATTATGACTACTGAAGAGAACATAAATATTATCACCTTTGACAAATGTTAAAATATAAGTACAGATTTCAAATGTTAAGTGGTGAAAAGAGCTGAAGAGGTAGGAGGAAGATAAAAAATGCTCTTAGAATCATTTTACAAAAACAAATGATATTGTCCATAGTTACAGAACAAGAAATAGAGTCAACAGAAGAACTAAAAGTATTATGTAATAATACACAGAAACAGGGTAAACAAGCTAAATCCTTACTCACCAGAGCAGTGAGTCAATAGGTATGTAAAAGTTGTGAAATCAAGAAATAATGGGTCAGGCATTACTAATGCCTGTAATCCCTGCACTTTGGGAGGAAAAAGTGGGTGGATCACTTGAGGTCAGGAGTTTGAGACCAGCCTGCTCAACATGGCATAACCCCACATCTACTAAAAATACAAAAAATTAGCTGGGTGTGGTGGTGGGCGCCTGTAATACCAGCTACTTGGGAGGCTGAGGCAGGAGAATCACTTGAACCCAGGAGGTGGAGGCTGCAGTGAGCCAAGACCACACCATTGCAATCCAGCCTGGGCAACAACAGAAAACTCTGTCTCGAAAGAAAAAATGGTATAAATTTATTACACATACAGAAATAAATACCCGAAAAACAAAACATAGTTATATCTAGAAGCAAAACTGGGTGGTGGGAAGGAGCAGGAAACTTGTTTTTATTGTACATTCTTCGATACTACCTTTGTTTTGTGTTTTGTTTTTATTTTACTTTGCCAGGCCTCTTTAAAAAAGAATTTTAGAACTGTAAAACTTTAAAAGTTTTCTGCCAGGCACAGTGGCTCACACCCATAATCCCAGCACTTTGGGAGGCTGAGGTAGGCAGATTGCTTAACCCCAGGAGTTCAAAACCAGCCTAGGAAATGTGGTGAAACTCCATTTCTACAAAAAATAGAAAAATTAGCCAGGCGTGGTAGTGTGCTCCTATAGTCCCAGCTACTTGGGAAGCCAAAGTAGGAGAATCACCTGAGCCCAGGGAGTCAAGGCTACAGTGAGTAAAATCATGCCACTATACTCCAGCCTGGGTGACAGAGCGATACTCTGTCTCAAAAAATAATAATAATAATTTAAAAGTTATTCCAATGTATAAAGGACAACAATGTTACAATTATTTAAAACATGAGATAACATGCATCAAGAGTCACAAAAATTACAGCAGGGACTTCTTAGGCAAAAAATAAAAATTTAAAAAGTCACAAAAATATGCAGACCCCTTAACTAATTCTCCTCTCAGCAATGTCTGAATAATGATATTAACTATGGTGTTATTTATAACAGCCAGAGGCCAAAAGTAATATACCAGTAAAAAACTGGTTACTAAATCAGTTCATATAAAAACTGGAATATTATGTACATATTAAAATTAGTAATGTAGATCTTTTTATTGACATGAAAAGACAATCCTAATATGCTGCTATATAAAAAATAAAGAAAAAATATATATATATACGGTTATATAAAACCAGGTTACAAAACCCATATATAGCAAGATTCCATTTTTAAGGTTTCTATATAGAGATGGGTAAAAAGGCATACACATATTCATAAGCACAAAAATACACCACAGACACTACTCATAAAGAGTCTAGAATAATATGCCAAAATATTATACTATCTAGGAGATGGTATTACCGTTGAATTTCTATTTACTTTTTAAGTATTTTTCTGTAGCATCTGAGTTATTTGCATATACTACTTTCATAATCTGAAAAAAATTGTCTAGTTTGAAAAATAAATGTGCATATACATTGACTCTGCAATTCCATATGCAGAAATTGGTTGCAAAGAATAATAGGATAAAAATGTTCTGGCTGGGCACAGTGGCTCATGCCTATAATCCCAGCACTTTGGGAGGCCGAGGCAGGTGGATCACTTGAGGTCAGGAGTTCGATATCAGCCTGGCCAACATGATGAAACCTCATCTCTACTAAATATACAAAAACTAGCTGGGGGTCATAGCAGGCACCTGTAATCTCAACTACTCAGGAGGCTGAGGCAGGAGAATCACCTGAACCTAGGAGGTGGAGGTTGCAGTAAGCCAAGATTGTGCCACTGTACTCTAGCCTACATGACACAGCAAGACTCCATTTCAAAAAAAATAAAGTCCTGTGCATATAAGAACACTTACGTTAGAGTTATAGAAAAACAAAAACATGAATAATATTCTACACTCCCGGGCAAAATCCAGACAGGGGACAGAAACCACACCAATTATTCTGACACAGAAAATTTAATATAAAAAACTGTTACTTAGGTCTTTGAAAACCAATGAGGTTAAAAAAAAAAATACTAAGGTATCAAAAAGAAGTTGCAAGAAGCAAATACTAGGAAACCACACCATTCATGCTATAAGCACAGTATCGGGGAAATATACAAAATGAGACTTAATTTAAAAAAAAAAAAGAATTTTAGAACTATAAGAATAATTGAGTATCACCTTTTCTTATGTTCCTACAGGGTTTTTATTTGGTTGGTTGGAACTGAAGTTGTTTTGTTTCATTGATGAAAAAACTAAATATATTCTGGGTATACAAAACCATACCAAGAACAAGAAGAGACAATTTCCAGTGCTTACTGAACAATATGAATTAACTCGATAAGTAAAGAGGCTTCTGACTTCATAGTGTAGTTATGTTAAAGTTCAGTATATACACAAAATTAATGATCACTTTTTAAAATTATAATTTCAAAAAAATCACTTACCAAACACTATTCCTTTAGCAAATGGAGGAAATAATTCTGAATGTCGGAATAAGTTTTTGTGAATTTGCCATAGTTCTTTGTGTAGTTTCTTAAAATCACTGTATCTCTTCCATACAATTATCTAAAAGAAGAATAAAATTAGACATGTATCTCATAAACCATTTAGGTTCAGATATCTGAACAACAAATAATCTTTTCATTAAAGTGTTCAAAATTGTCATGCAAAGGCAAATGCATATCCTAACCAATATGATTAACTGACTGAAATTAACTAATAATATTTACTTTAAAAATATAAAGCAGATTCCTGCTGCCCAGGAGCATAGCAAAAAATAAAGTAAAAATATATTACATATAAAGCAATAATCCTTCCAACTATTCTGCTTTGGTTTCAAATTTTCATTTTAAACAAGTATGGTTTTATTCATAATGGAAAAATACTCAATCCAGAAGATTTACACTACGTAAAATGTCACTTCACCTCTTAGAAAACCAATTACAATCAGCCTGCAAATGAGTTAGATGTCAAAACATATATTCTTTCTCAAAATAATACATGTATAAAGACAAAATAATTAATTTAGGCAATTTTTAAACAAAAGTACATTCTCAGTCTTTGCCTAAAAGGATAAAGACTGAACAAAAAGTAGCTGTGCAGCAAGCAATTAACATGGACTTTCACGTCATAAATCTTTTTTCATAAACCGTAATTTATACCAGTAATAAGATTTCTGTAGGCAAGCTGAATCCTGACCAGAACATCATTAAAATTAGTATAATTTTAAAAAACAAAATAACAATCACCTAGATGAGACAACAGGCAAAAGTGTGTTTTCTTTCATTAGTCTGAATTATTGTTTAACATTACTCAGATCAAATCTAAAAAAAAAAAAAAAAAAAAAAAACCACTTTGTAAAGATTGTAAAGAAAAAGGATTTGAAGCATGGCCTTGATATCAGATTCAGCCCCTCAATCTCCACAAAGCAGGGTAAAGCTGAGTTTTAAATCCCATTACTTCAGATACTGGGGTCTTGACTTCGGAAAAGCTTAATCATCTCAGTTCTAACAAACTTTTCTAAAAGTTTTTCATAAACAACAGGGTGTAACGCTAATGAGCAAATACCAGGTCAAGCAGTTAACCAGGTGTGATTTAAGAGACTCTTGCCAAAAAACCTACTCTCTGCATGTATAAAATTCTTCAGCAAACTTTTTCATACTGTCTAAAATTCTACCTTAATTAATAAATTTATTGTTAACAGTTATAATCTTAGGAGGCGAGACAGACTATAACATGAATTAATTTTTAAAAATCTGCTTCCTCGTGACGCTTCCCTTGTATTTATTGACTCAACAACAAAAAGAGTCACCGAAACAAATATTTTTATGGACCTACTTTGCACTAAGCATCATACTGTCACAAAGTATGAAGAGAAGGGAAAAACAGGCCCTGCCTTCAAAGAGTTCACATTCTAATTAGAAAGAATAAGCCAACACATTATAAGACAACAACATCATAAGACAGCTTGAAAAATGTTCAAAGGGGCAGCCCAAGAGTGCTATAGAAGCAGTATCTAAATCAGCCTTGTATATCTGAGAAGGCTTCACAAAAAGTACTACCTTAGAGAATCCTGAAGGGAAGTGGTCAGTAGACCCACAAAAATAAAATAAAAGTGGAGGGAATTGAGAATGACATTTTTAAAAGGAGAGTGAATTGCCAAGTATATATAACTAAATGAAGACAAAATAATTAATTTAGGCAATTTTTAAACAAAAGTACATACTCAGTATTTGCCTAAAATGATAAATAAACTGAGTAACAATGAAGAAGAAACAGCTGTGTAGCAAGTTTTGCTACAGATTTTTGGTTTTCAACATATTTATTTAGGAGCTCATGAGGGAGCTACTTGGAGCTGTTTAATGAGATAGACAGCTTTAAGAGCAAGAACTAAGCAGGATCTATTAACCTGTAGATTAAGAGATCAGTAGCAGATAGGCAGTAATCATTCAGGAAAAAGGTTTCTCAGCATGTGTAATGAGATGTAAGGATTCTAACAACAGAATGATGTGAACAAAAAATTGTTATTTTTATATTTTAAAAATATATCAAATTACAATCATATTACATTGCCAAGGAATTAAGGGAGAAATGGGTGATGGGCTTATGAAAGGAGTACCTTATAAAAGGTAAATGTCATTATAAACTGGACCTTACATAAGGTTAAGGCCATTATGACTTGGATGTGAAAGTTATTCAAAAGACTGTAGTTCATGGAAATACTTAGATTTACAAATAAAGTTTTTATTCTAGTTAAGGTCATTTTTAAATAATGTAAGAGAAAAGGAGCAAAATTTAACAATTTAATTATAATAATTATTAAAATACCATGGTATATAAACCAGCAGACAGTCTGTCAAAGCAAGAATTAGAACCCTCAAGGTGAGAATCTGTGTTTCTTCACCATGCCCTAATTTATTCATTCTCATATTCCTTCTTCTCAACCCTAGGGCTGTAGAACCAAAATACCCTCATTGCAGAATGTCACATCCACTGCCTCCTTTTCTTCTTACTCCTTCTAAGTTTTGAGGTTTCCAGAAATCTTCAAAATACCAAAGTGAACAAAGATATATTTCCACTACAACAATAAGTACTGAGGTTCATATCTGGACTACACAAAGTCCTCAAAGACACCTACAGAAATTATTTCCTCTAATTAATGTTAGATACTTTCCCATTTAGGAAAAAATTGGCCTAAAACACCCATTTCTTTACTGAACCAAATTTGCATACATTTCTTATTTATTAAAGTCACTCTGAAGAAAATGTATCAAGGAAATATAATTCAATGACAACCATATAAAAAATACAAATTCAATAAAAGTTTTATTTTCATTAAAAACATTCCCTCAAATATTTTTTACATAAATGTTTCCTTTTAGATAATTACACTTAATAACACTGAAAACTTTTTAGATTCCTGTATTTTACAGAATCACCAATTGAATTAACTTTGTCTTTTCACTCTCATATAACATTAATATTTACAATTTGCTGGATTATCTCTTCTTACAACCATCATCACTACCATACTATTTGCTTATGGATTTTGTTTTCCCTGTTCTCTTTTCCTTTCCCTTGATATATTTCTGAGTACGTATGTACCCATTTTCTAAAACTATTTTTTCCATGATTGTAATCACAGCACTTTGGGAGGCCAAGCTGGGCAGATCACCTGAAGTCAGGAGTTCAATACCATCCTGGCCAACACGGTAAAACCCTGTCTCTATTAAAAATACAAAAATTAGCTGGGCATGGTGGTTTGTGCCTATAATCCCAGCTATTCGGGAGGATGAGGCAAAAGAATTGCTTGAGCCCGGGAGGCAGAGGTTGCAGTGAGCCGAGATAGCACCATGGCAATCCAGCCTGGGTGATAGAGCGAGACTCCATCTCGAAAAATAAATAAAAATAATAATAAATAAAATTATCTTTTAAAGAAAGGATTTAACAGAGGTTTCTGATATAATACATAGAAAGTCCTATTTCAGTTCTCTTCCCTTCCCAAATTTCACCAGTGAAATATCCTACCTGTAGAGAGAAACAGGTATAGGTTAATTTGTTTAAAAAAGGGTGAGGGAAAGCAAAACCATCTCTTTCTTCACTTATCTGCAGTCTACTCATGTTCTACATGATCTACTGAATAAGAGGCCACAGATTTTTTTTTTCCACATTCTTAGGAAGAAAACACTGATACCTGGTGGCATGTGCTAAAGTATATATAAAAGAAAAACAACAAAATTTCTCCCATTGTGTATAAGGCTAGCATATTACTAGCCCTACATTTGGTTGAACTATCAGTACATCTAGTTTTAAAGAGCCCTTGTGAAGCCTTACTATAGTCTAAAGCAGTAACAAATGAATAAATTAATGGAGAAAGAAAGTGAAAAGAAGTGAAAAACAAACTCTAAGTGGTAAATTCCTCTCCCAAATTAGAATTCCAATGTTTACATAAACTAAATGGAAAACTTAAAAAAGTACTGTGATAATTTCAAGGTTATTTTATATTTTAAGAAACCAACTAAATAGAATACTTTTTAAAAATTTATACCACTTCTAACAAAGGACCATGCAATTGTCTAACTAAAAGACACTTACAAGAGTTTTCTGATGAATGGTTCACCAACAGTTGTTATTATAAAAGAGTTTTCCGGAAAAAAGGATTAAGAAAATGGCAGAGAGTATGTTCATGGATAGGTTGGTTCAGGATTCTTCCTGGAAAATGGGAACATCAGGCTACAAACTACAGCACAGCAATCAGACAATGCATTCAAAGGAAATATACCCATTTCAATTTTAAGAGTTGTAAACTAGAAATCTAAATAATAGTTCATACTCATCAATTGACACAAGTAAATATAGAAAAGTACTTTAATCATGGTGCAAATTACTTTCACTGGGATATATATAAATGTATGGTATATATATATACATACATATATATATATACACACACACACATACACACACACCCCCCACACCAGTGAAAGTAATGTTATATATATAATATATTGTTATTTTGAAAGATATAACATATCTTTATATATATATTTATATATTTATATATTATATAATATATTATATATATTTAATATATTATATTTATATATTATATATAATATATATAAAGATATGTTATATCTTTCAAAATAACAATATTAGATATTCTTCCTGACTACTGATGGGGGGAGAGATTGTCTTAAAACCCGTCAGGAAAATAGTATTAAATCTTTTTAAAATGTATGTTTTTGTTTTTGTTTTGTTTTTGTTTTTTTTTGAGACAGAGTCTCACTCTGTCTCCCAGGCTAGAGTGTCATGGTGCAATCCAGGCTCACTGCAACCTCCACCTCCCAGGTTCAAGCAATTCTCCTGCCTCAGCCTCCTAAGTAGCTGGGATTACAGATGCCTGCCACCACGCCTGGCTAATCTTTATATAAAATATATCTTTTTTAAATCATAGGACAAAAACAACTATGAGATCAGACATAGCCAGAAATGATAATGTATAAAATTTAAATACTATCTAAACCTGGGACGATACACTCAAACCAAGCAGTACCAAACAGTCAGCTTAAATGTGTGAATCAAGCCAGGTACGTTCTGTAGAGTGGTGGGGCCTGCGGCTAAATAGAAGAACCTACCACCCAAAAACATTCAGATTTAATTGTGTGGGGCGGTGGGAAACAAACACTGTTGCAGCAGAATCAGAACTGTAAACTTAAAGTATCTGTTTTAAACACACATTGGTAAGGGAGGAAAAAACAATCCCAATATATGTCTTTCTAGTCTTAGTGAAAATGAGCAAGGACTAAAATGAAAGTAAATCAAGAAACATTAAAGGCAGCAAGCTCCTCAGTAAGGATTCCTAAAGATATACAATAAGCACAAAGTAAATACAAATAGAGAATTTTGCAATTTTAAGCAAAACATAACAGGCTGGTATCATTTTAGAAAGAAGGAAAAAATGCACAGAAGAATCTGCAAAAGAACCTACTAACTTAAAAAGTTAAAAAAGAAACATCTGTATCTCAAACAGTTTTCCAAGATGTCAACATGTCAATTCAATATAAAAGTGAAAGTAGGTGAAGACCCATTATGTATTGTTAGAATCTTTAAAATAAATACTAGTTACCAAATACTTTTTATTACATAGACACTGTGATCTTGAAATGGGTAAACAGGGGGCCCTTAACTGATGTTGAAATCTTATAAACACTGGTTACCAGATCAATTATCATTTAGTAAACCACACTATAATTCATTAAATTCTTATTTCTATAACTTGACACCTACTAAAATTAACACTTACATAGCAGGTCTCGAATACGACCCTTCAGCTACTCTTTTGTGAACCGAAGACAATCTTCACGCAAACATGTAAAGACTTGCACAGTGGCTCACGCCTATAATCCCAGCACTTTGGGAGGCCAAGACAGGTGGATCACTTGAGGTCAGGAGTTCGAGACCAGCCTAGCCAACATGGTGAAACCCCGTGTCTAATAAAAATACAAAAATTAGCTGGGTGTGGTGGTGGATGCCTGTAATCCCTGCTACTCGGGAGGCTGACCAGGAGAATCACTTGAACTCAGGAGGCAGAGGTTGCAGTAAGCTGAGATCAAGCCATTGTACTCCAACATGAGCTACAAGAGTGAAACTCCATCTCAAAAAAAAAAAAATTGATGTACAAATGATTCAGGCGATTTCCTCAAAAAAGTATTTAATTAAATTTTTATCAAATACATAAAATAAAATCTTCATATGGATATTACCTCCTGGACATCCTCTGGATTTCTTCGTGAAACAACCTAAAACAAAACATACATAGAAATCTCTAATCATTATCAAATTTAAGATTTCCTATTTGTATAATTCACTTTCATTAGTATTTGTATGAAAAATTCAATTTGCTTAAAAGAAAATAAACACTATATCATTTATCCAAAACTCAGTTATATAATAACTTCACTACCTGAAACAGATACTGTTACATCAAATTTAACCTAAAGTTACCTCCTTTAGGCTACATATTTTAAGTTTGGCCTAAGAATTTCTCTGTACATAATAGACAGAGAAACAGATGTATAAATAGATGTATAAACAGACTGTACCCTACTCTGGTGCCAGTCGCCAAGTTTTGACCAAAAGGGGCCAACTGTTTAAATGATGTTCAACTAAGGCAAATGCTCAGCTGGAACTAATACAGCTGTTTGAACAGTTCCTTTTCTGTATATCACTTTCCTTTTTCTGTCCATAAATCTTCTACCACATGCCTGTGCTGAAGTCTCTCTGGACCTACATTGGCTGAAGAGGCTGACCAATTCGTGAATCATTCTTTGCTCAATTAAACTCTGTTAAATTTAATTTGGCTAAAAATTTTCATTTAATGATACTAAAAAATAAGCAAAAAAGCAGCTAAAAGTCCACGTGCTAATGTTCATATATTCATTACATTCATAAGAAAAAGCTTCCAGCCCTTACTCTTAACATAATTGTAACAAGCTTGTCTACATCTCCCCTTCCCAGCAAGCCTACCTATAAATTAGAAGCATAAAAAGCAGCTGTGCTTGGGCAACGTGTACAAGCGATCTCTCTACATTATTTCTTACCACTGTATATGAATCTACAATTAGCCCAATAAAAATGTCAATTAAAAAAAGCAGCCACAATGCTCAGACACACCATGTGAGAAGTATGAGAAGTAATCACTGGCTGCATAATAATGAAGAAAACAAAAGTAATATAAATTATATACAAACATTCAGGGACAAATAAGCCTTCTAGCAATACTCGCTAAGGAAAGAGGAAAATGGAGATTCTTTCAGGCTTCTCTGATTACAAAGGCCAAAAAGTCTAACACCATGTAAAAATATTTTTTTCACAAAACCTTTGAAAAGGGTAGGTGCTAAACCATCAAACACATCATAAACTAGGAAAGTCTCACATTAGATTATATAATACAGTACCACCCACGTAAATGTCAAATTAACAGATTTGAAGCTACAACGCTGTATTTTGCACAAACAAACAAAAAGAAAAATCAGGCTGTTCTGTCTATGGAATAGCCATTCTTTATTCCTTTACTTTCTTAATAAACTTGCTTTCACTTTAAAAAAAAAAAAAAAGATAAATCAAACACACTAGGAATTATAATCCATTCAGCACCATTCCTAAAGTCTGAAAACAGAATAAAAAATAGAGGATTTTAAAGTCTGACAAACTTTGGTTCAAGCCACAGTTCAATTTACAGGTTTGATCTCATCTATAAAATGGAGATAATACTAACTGCCTTGCCTGGCTGTTGTGAAAAAAAAATAACATAGCAAGAATGCTATAATTTAAAAGCTTCCTCTTCCCCTACCAGACAGGTTAACCATTGTAAAAGCTCCCACCTAAGAATTTCAGAGAACAAATATCTTGCACTCTATACTCCAACTTTCACAATACATAAACTTGGTGAAATCCTGTAGCAATTTTCATTAATTTATACAACACTGCTAAGCAATAGAACTTTCTGTGATGACGGAAAAAATGCTCTCTACGTGCAATGTTCAACACAGTCACCGCTAGCCACATGTGTGTGGCTATTAAACCACTGAAATATGGCTACTTTGGGAAACTATATTAATTTCACTTCATTTAAATTAATTTAAAAAAAAATTTTTTTCAAGACAGGGTCTTACTCTGTTACCCAGGCTGGAGTGCCATGACATGGACCACAGCTCACTGCAGCCTCAAACTCCTGGGCTCAACTGATCCGCCCACCTTGGCCTCTTGTGTAGCTGGGACTACAGGCACACAACACCACAGTTGGCATATATATATAGTTATATATATATTTCAATATACATTTATATATTTTATATATATTTGGGTCTCTACAACAGGCACACAATACCACAGTCAGCATATATATAGTTACATACATATATATATATATATATATATATATATATATATATTTTTTTTTTTTTTTTTTTGGTAGAGATAGGGTCTCCCTATATTGCTCAGGCTGGTCTCAAACTCCTGGGCTCAAGCAATCCTCCTGCCTCAGCCTCCCACAGTGCTAGGATTATAAGTGTGAGCCACTGCAGGCCTTAATTTAAATTTAAATCAAAATAGCTACAGTGGTTAATGACCACCAAATCAGACAACACAGATTTAGTATCAAAGAGGCTGTAACAGGTAACTAACAACCATACATTATTCAAATATTTGATTTTAGCTATTACTTTCAAGTATCAGATGTCCCCTCACACACACCTTTCCAAAAGTATAATATTTCACGAAGTTTAATGACTGATTTTATTTCTTACATTTTTATGAAATGTATTGAGAAGAATAGTAATAGATAACCAATCCACTAATAATCCACCCACCAAAAATAACACATGATCACTCACAACAAGGTCTTTTTTTTTTTTTTTTTTTTTTTTTTGAGACTGAGTTTCCCTCTTGTTACCCAGGCTGGAGTGCAATGACTCGATCTCCACTCACCGCAACCTCCGCCTCCTAGGTTCAGTCAATTCTCCTGCCTCAGCCTCCTGAGCAGCTGGGATTACAGGCACGCGCCACCATGCCCAGCTGATTTTTTGTATTTTAGTAGAGACGGGGTTTCACCATGTTGACCAGGATGGTCTTGATCTCTTGACCTCGTGATCCACCCACCTCGGCCTCCCAAAGTGCTGGGATTACAGGCATAAGCCACCGCGTCCGGCCTGCAAATGTTCTTTTTAAGAAAGAAGAACTTATTTCTTTTTTCTGTCACCCAGGCTGGAATGCAGTGGCATGATCTCAGCTCACTGCAACCCCCGCCTCCTGGGCTCCAGTGATTCTCCTTCCTCAGCCTCCTGAGTAGCTGGGTTTATAAGCATGCGCCACCACGCCCAGCTAATTTTTGTATTTTTAATAGAGACAGGGTTTTACCATGTTGCTCTGGCTGGTCTTGAACTCCTGACCTCATGATCTGCCTGTCTCAGGCTCCCAAAGTGCTGGGATTACAGGCAAGAGCCACTGTGCCCAGCCTAGAAGAACTTATTTCTTAGTGTACATATTAGAAGTATCACATGTACTCATGGAAATCAAATACATGTGTACTTCATAAACAAAAATACATTAGCCATCCCCTAACAATATCCACAATATTAAAACTATCTTATCAGAAATAACCGATTTGATTACTATTTATCAGCCATCCTCTTAGTGGTCTACATACTTCTATGTGCTGGATTACAATGGTAAGCAAAATAAACTCCCTTTCTTCCTGGAGCTCACAGTCCAGCGGTGCACAATGGTGGGGTGGGAGGGGAGTGCAGAGTGGAGGAGGGTGTATTTCTCTAACATATTTCCGTAACTCGGATAACAGTAGTGTGCTAAGCAACAGATTGGTAAACATTTCATCCTAGATCCTTCCCATGGTACTGAATCCTCACTGTTCACAGCAAAGTGAAAGCAGTCAACCAGTCATGGTTTAGTGATGTAAGATTTTCAGTGTTTTCATAATAAATTTACTGAATTTTTTGGCATATTGGTTTTCTACTAAACAATATTACAAGTCAAAAACAAAGGAACAGTAGAATAAACTAGAGTCTAGAAAACACAGAACACCTTGAGAGCCATTTTTCAAAAATTTCAAGCATAAATATATTTTGCAACAAACCAATTGCCCTCCCTATCTCTACGATTATTTTGTTTGTTGAAAATGTCTCCAGATTAAGCTAATACTAAGTATTTATTCAAGAAATCTTCAAGGAGCTACTGATTTAACAACTGAAATCTAACAACTCCCACTGCTTTAATACCAGACATTTGTAAAAATCTAACAGGTTAAGTATTTAAAATTTAGTAGGTTCTCTTTTTTCCTTTAAATTGACTTAAATGATTGCTTGAAATGTGTGTGACTATACATTACTTTCAAACAAAAAAGCTAACAAAACTAAAAATTAAAACATGCAGGCCGGGCGCAGTGGCTCACACCTGTAATCCCACCACTTTGGTAGGCTGAAGAGCACAGATCACCTGAGGCCAGGAGTTCAAGACCAGCCTGGCCAACATGGCAAAACTCCATCTCCACTAAAAATACAAAAAAATTCACTGGGCGTAGTGGCACACACCTGTGGTCCCAGCTACTCAGGAAGCTGAGACGGGAGAATCGCTTGAACCCAGGAGACGGAAGTTGCAGTGAGCTGGGATTGTACCACTGCACTCCAGCCTGGGTGACAGAGCGAGACTCTGTCTCAAGAAAATAAATAAAAATAAATAAAACATGCAGCCTCTTATATACGAAAACTCTACCATTAAAATTATACTAGAGGATAAAAGACTGAACATTTTCCTCCTAATATCAGGAACAAGGCAAGGAAGCCTACTCTCAACACTCCTAATCAAGACTGTAGACTACAAGTCCTAGCCAAGCAATAAAGCAAGAAAAAGAAATAAAAGTCATACAGATTGGAAAGAATAAATAAAACTATGCCTTTTGGCAGACAACATGGATTGCCTATGCAAGAAAAAAAACAAGTATTCTTCTAAAAAGTCTTAGACTAATAAGACAGTTTGAAAGGTGACGTAATAAGGGCAACACAAAAATGAATCTAATTTCTACATATCAGCAAAGAAAAGCTGAAAACCAAAATTTTTTAAAACACTATTGACAATAGCTATGAAAATATGAAACAGTGAGGAATAAATCTAACAAAACATACAAAGAATCTATTTGCTCAAAACTACAAAATGCTGATGGAAGAGATCAAAGAACACAAATAAATGGCAAGACATATTGTGTTCATAGATTTGAAGATTCAACATA